TGGTTTACTCCCCAAATCGCCGCAATGGCCGGAGCTTGGCTGATCCGAAGTCATGAACCAGCAGCATCTTTGGGTCTCCCATAGGGTCCAGGGGCCCACGGACTTGGGCCATCTTCTGCTTTCCCAGGCCATAGCAAAGAGCTGGATTGGAAGTGGAGCAGCCGGGACTTGAACTGGTGCCCATATGGGATGGCAGCACTGCAGGCAGCAGCTTTAACTACTATGCCGCAGCGCCAGCCCCAGAAACCTTTATATTTAAAAGCAATACTGAAGTCACACACTTGGTCAAGATGTGTTTATCATTTATACTAAAGTATTACCATCAGGTGATAACCCATATTTTGTTAAAAACTACACACACTGAAACAAGGTGTTTAGCCTAGTGGTTAAGACACCTGCATCCCATTTACTTTATTTACTTACTTATTTGAAAGACCTACAGAGAGAGAGGGAAAGATAGAGATAGTTTATCTGCTGGTTCACTCTCCAGCTGACTGCAGTGGCCAGACTGGGCCAGGTCAAAGCCAGAAGCCAGTCTACAATGTGGGTGGCAGTGGCCCAAGCACTTGGGCCATCTTTCGCTGCTTTCCCCAGACCATTAGCAGGAAGCTGGATAGGAAGTGGAGTAGCCAGGACATAAACTGGCACCCATATGGGATGTTGGCGTTGTAGGTGGCGGCTTAACCCGCTACACCAATTGGGACTCAAGGGAATGGTGTTGTGGTATAGCAGGTAAAGCCACTGCCTGCAGCACTGGCATCCCATATGGGTGCCAGTTCGAGTCCCGGCTACTCCACTTCTGATCGCTCTCTGCTCTGGCCTGGGAAAGCAATAGAAGATGGCTCAAGTCCTTGGGACCCCACACCCATGTGGGAGACCTGGAAGAAGCTCTTGGCTTCTAGTTTTGGCTCTGCTCAGCTCTGGCCATTAGGGCCATTTGGGGAGTGAACCAGTGGATGGAAGATCTCTCTCTATCCTTCTCTTTTTCTGTAACTCCACCTTTCAAATAAATAAATAAATCTTAAAAACAACCTTGGAACTCAAAATAGCTGTTTTCAGTCAGCCACCTATCTCTTTATGACTTTTCATCTACGAAATGGAAGTAATTTTACCTCTTACCAACTTGGACACTTTTAAGGAAAAAAGGTGATGCTTTATAAAGATCCTTTTGAATGGTTTGCTAATACAAAAATTAATAAATTTGAGTTTGAAATTAACCCATAACCTGCCCTCTGAACAGCAGTGAATGGAGGTTGCTTCCAGATCCAGCTTTACCACTCAGGAACTGCCTGATTCATTTCTTTTAACCAGCTTCATTGTCAAAGTGGAAGAATTATAATTGCTCTGAGACTCTGATCTTGAAAGATTGAGCTTTTGGAAATTCAAAAGCAATAGGTGAAATAAACTAATAGAAATGTAAAGAGTTGAGGTTAACATTTTGCCTAGTAGTTAAGTCCAGGCCATATCAGAGTGTCTGGGTTTAAGCCATGACTTCCTACCGATGTGCACACTGGGAAGCAGCAGGTGACCCAAGTGGGTGAATCCCTGCTACCCATGTGAGAGACCTGGATTAGGTTGCTGCAGGACTCCTGGTTTCCGTTTGGCTTGGCCCTAGCCAGTACAAGCATTTGGAGAGTGAACTAGTGAAAGAGGACACACTATCAAATAAATAAAATCAGAAGAAACATCTAAAGAGTTGGCTGAGAAGGTGTCACGACAAGTGCCTCTTCCCATGCATGTACACATACATGTCTCCATCTCTCCTGGAGTAAATTCTGTGTAGGAAATTAGTGATGGTGGGGGAAGGTGTCCAGCCTAGTGACTGAGATGCCTGAGTCCCACCCACAGTGCAGGGCCCGGGCTCAAGACCCAGCTGTGCCTCCTGCTGAGGTGGATCCTGGGAAGCAGCAGTGATAGCTCGGGTAATGGGCTTTCTGCCACTCTGGTTAGTTGGTGGTGCTCCTGACCTTCCTTTGATTGGTGCTACGGTGCTGTTTAGGGAGCTTTTGATGGCTAAGTGAGCCCCAGGTGGTCTGCGGCTGTTACATGTAGGTGGTAGTCACCACCTGCCCCAGACCCAGAATTCCCCTGCCCGCACCTGGAATTTCCTAAACAAAGCCCTCTGGACAGTACTGGCCCACAAGGTTTTATCTGTTGGAGAAGCAAATGACTTCTTGAGTCTGGCGATTAGAACCTTGCAGCTGTGTTGCTGCCTTACTTCATTGAATTCCTTTTGATACAGAACAGTCAAGGACGCTTTGTGCTAAGAGAGGTGAGGGGCTGGGTCTTGCTTTTACATTATAGGGGTTTGGTCTCATACTAATTAAGGCTAATGAGAATGGTGACTGGACCAGGGTGATAGCTGTGGAAAGGTAGTATGATAGATTTTTTAAAGAAAAGATTTATTTATTTATTTGAAAGGCAGAGTTACAGAAAGAGAGAAAGCAAGATCTTTCATCCGCTAGTTCACTCCCCAAATAGCTGCAAAGCTGGTTCTTGGCCAATCCAACAATAAGAGCCAGGAGCTTCTTCTAGGTCTCTCACATGGGTACAGGGGCTCAAACATGGGCCATCCTTTGCTACCTTCCCTAGTGTGTTAGCAGGGAGCTGGATCAGAAATGCAGCAGCTGGGACTCGAACCAGCACCCATATGGGATGCTGGGTGTCACAGGTGGCAGCTTTACCGGGTATACCACAGTGCCAGCCCCATATGCTAGGTTTTGAAATTGAACCATTAGGATTTATAGATGGGCTAGTTGGTAACTAAGAGCTCAGTAAACAGCATGGCCTTTGGTTATAAGGCTTTGGGTCCGAATACCCACACTTTGCCTTATTAGCTGGCTGTGTGACTTTACCAGGCCTCATTTCATATATACAGATGGAGCATCCCTAATCTGAAATCCTAAGTGCTCCAAAGTCCAAAGCTTTTTGAGCACTAATATGACCCTCAGAAAGTTTCAGCTTTTGAGTTTGGATTTTCAGATTGGGGGTGTTCAACTGGTAAAGTCTACAAATGCTCCAAAGAAATCGGAAATGCTCTGGTCTCTAGCATTTTGGATTAGGGATTCTAAACCCCTCCCTCTCTGCCTTCCTCCCTTCCTTTATTCCCCCCTTCCTCCCATTTGAAAGGCAGAAAGAGAGTTCCTTCATCCCCTGGTTCACTCCCCAAATGGCCACAAAAGCCAGGGCTGGGCCAGGTGGAAGCAGGAGCCTGGATCTCTACCCAGATCTCCCATGTGGGTGGCAGGAGTCCAAGTACTTGGGCCATCTTCTGCTTTCCCAGGTGCATTAGTCTGGCAGCTGGAACAGAAATGGGGCAACTGGGACTTGAACTGGGGCCCATATGGGATGCTGGTATCACAGGCGGCAGCTTAACCTGTTGCTGCCACAATGCTGGCCTCTATCTCTGTCGTTTTCATTTCCCAAGTAGTCTGTTTCCTTCAAGGTGCTTTTTATCTTGTTTATTCAGCATAATTCTCTCTATATAATTATGAACAGAAGAAACTCTAAGTGTAAGTGAAGAGAAAATTAGAGTATGTGGAATGATAACCAATTCCCAGAAACTTAGAGGATTTTTTTTTCCTACGCTGGAAGTAAAATGAGATAGGCTGCATGTTATTTTGGAGAAAGTTGGCTGGTTGGAGTGAGGTATAAAATAACTTTAGGGGCCGGTGCCGTGTAGTGGGTAAGGCTGCTGCCTGCAGTGCCCACATCCCATATGGGGGCTGTTTGAGTCCCGGCTGCTCCACTTCTAATCCAGCTCTCTGCTATGACCTGGGAAAGCAGTAGAAGATGGCCCAGGTCTTTGGGCCCCTGCACCTGCGTGGGAGACCTGGAAGAAGCTCCTGGCTTCAGCTTGGCCTAGCCCTGGCTGTAGTGGCCATTTGGGAAGTGAACCAGCAGGTGAAAGATCGACCTCTCTCTCTGTTTCTTTGGAACTCAGCCTTTCAAAACAAATAAATAAATCTTTTTTTTTTTTTTTTAAAGGACCAGAGCCGGTGCTGTGGTGCAGCGTGTAAAGCCCTGGCCTGAAGTGCCGGCATCCCATATGGGTGCCAGTTCTAGTCCTGGCTGCTCCTCTTCCAATCCAGCTCTCTGCCATGGCCTGGGATAGCAGTGGAGGATGGCCCAAGTCCTTGGGCCCCTGCACCCATGTGGGAGACCTGGAGGAAGCTCCTGGCTCCTGGCTTTGGATCAGCACAGCTCCGGCCGTTGTGGCCATCTGGGGAGTGATCCAGCGCATGGAAGACCTCTCTGTCTCTACCTCTCTCTGTAACTCTTTCAAATAAATAAAATAAATATTAAAAAAAACCCACAAAATATAGGACCTGGGGCGTGTGATGCTGGCTCCCGGGACAAAATTTAATAATCAACCTAAGGTTTATTCTGAAGTTTGAATCTGTGTTAATAAACTTGCAAATTTAACATTCTCCAGCACTGGCAAGGGAAATAGTGTAATTAATCGGAACTTGAGTGTTAGCGTTTTTACCGCCAACAGTGCCTTCTAACAGACTGTAATTTATTTTCTTTGAAGATTTATTTATTTGAAAGAGAGATCGTCCATTTGCTGGGTCATTCTCCTAGTGGCAGCAACAGGCAAGGCTGGGCCAGGCAGAGGCCAGCAGGAGCTAGGAACTCCATCGGGGTCTCCCACATGGGTGGCGGGAGCCCAAGCCGCTGGGGTCCTCTGCAGGTACCTTAGCAGGGGACTTCTTCGAAAGCATTGCAGCCGGGACTCCAACCCTCGGAAGCTGCAGCTTACCTGGCTGCACCACCGCTAGGCCCCCTAATGTCTTATTCAAGCGCAGAAGGCCAAGAGAATCTATTGAACTCCTACTGTGTGCCAGGCGCTGTCCTAAGTGCTTTGTGTTCATTATCTATCTTAACTAGCCTGAAATCATAAAACAGGTTTCCCCACAGAAAATGTGGAATGCGTGAAGCGGAAGAGGGAAGGAATTTATCTTTCACTTACTCTTTTGTTTAAAGGGAGGAGGTAAGTAAATTTAGGTTGCAACGCAGACTCTCAAATTTTAATTACATTTTCATAGTGAAGTAGAAACAGATACCAATTGACCCAGCAGGCGGTACAGCAGTCCCGAATATCAGTAACAGTGCTTTTAGCTCGCCCTAAAATACATTAGAGGAATGGGAATTCTCCTGTCTGCGTGGTACTGCCGGCTGCTCCTTCGTCCCGGGAGTAGACCAGTAGACCGGGAAGCGGGGGCCTGAGCGGCCAATCAGCGGGTGGCAGGTCTGGGAGGAGCCAGTTGTGCCGCCGGGGGACCTGGCTTCGGTCCCGGCCCCTGCCCTGCACCTGCGGCGCGACCGTCTGTTCAAGGCTGTTCTGAGAATCAGGTAAGTGCACAAGTGTGCCTGGCGCCCGGGAATAAAGTCCATCTCCCCGTGGCACTCCCTCCCTCTGGGGGCAGAGGTGAGTCCGAGGCGGAGAAGCAAATGCCCGACCAGACTAGCGGAGGAGCGGGGAGGGAGGCGCCGTGCTGTGGGACAAACGTCCCTCGGGATCGGGGACCCTAACCGGGGTTGGCCAGCCTCACGCAGTGGCGGGTGTTGGGGCGAGACCGCAACCCGCGAAGTGCAGGTGTCTGCCCGCTGCGTCAGCCGTGAAGACCCGAGCCCCGGGGCCGGGGAGCGGGTCGGACCCTTGCAGGTCGGCTACAGGGCCCCGAATCTGGGCCTGCAGCTAGCCCGGCGGCCTCTCGGGCGGCGCTGTACACAGAAACCGTTGCTATGGCCGTTTCCTGCGGTCTCGGGCGGCACCGGGCCTCTGCCCTGTGGGTGCCGCAAAGGTGTCTCCGTGCGCGGTGCCCGGGTTTTCGCGAGGTTGATTTACCGAGTCCGTAGCAGTTTGCGGGGAACGTGTTGCTGATAAGCTGCTTGGGGACAAAAGGGGAAATGCGTGTGCATCAGGACGGTGAAACAATTAAATCCAGCTGGGACCAAAGGCGTTCCTAACCAGAGAGAAATTTCAGGTGTGAAAAAGGTTTAAAGAGCGCAGAAAAGGATTGTATAACTTTGAGTGTGCGTGTGTTTCTTGGAACTTGAGAATTAACCTTTGGTAGTCTTGAGACTGTATATCCTACAGAAAAAAGGAGAATGGTAGTTTTTAAAAAGGACTCTTAGAGAAAGGTTACAGCTGTTCAGAATGAAATCGTTTGATCAGGTCAGAGATGACTCGTGTTTTTCATTAGATTTTATTCAAATTATGACATTTCCAGGGTTGCAAGACCCCTTCCATTGAAGGCTATCTATTTTATTCTCTTAGATGTTTAAATCCCTTTGGCCAAAGATCCTGCATGTCAGGAACAGTTCTTCTAAGGCAACCCATTCTCCTCTGGCAGCATCCACTTCAAGGTTCTTCTGGCTTCCCTGTAACTTCTGCCCTTAAGGTGATCCTTGTGATGGTAGCCACTCATCATACAGGGCCCTGCAGGTTGGGGGAAGCTGCTGATTTCTCGGCTGTGTCTCATCATCTCGACTCTACCCCCAAGTCAGAGCCCACAGGATACGGAGGAGAGGCTGACCTATGACCTGGCTCCCAGGGGGCAGTCATGCTTTCTGAAAGAAATATTTCTGTGAATTAGACTCATTGCTGCCCTTTGTATTTTTTTTTTTAAGATTTATTTATTTATTTGAAAGAGTTACAGAGAGGCAGAGAGAGAGAGAGAGAGAGGTCTTCCATCCGCTGGTTTACTCCTCAACTGGCCGCAATGGCCAGAGCTGCGCCAATCTGAAACCAGGAGCCAGGAGCTTCTTATGGGTCTCCCACACAGGTGCAGGGGCCCAAGGACTTGAGTCATCTTCTACTGCTTTCCCAGACCATAACAGAGAGCTGGATTGGAAGTGGAGCAGCCGACACAAACCGGTGCTTATATGGGATGCTGGCAATGCAGGCAGTGGCTTTACTTGCTATGCCACAGCACAGGCCCCTCATTGTTTTTAAAATAATTGCACAATAGGTTTTAGTGCAGTGGTTTTCAAAAACATTGAAAGTGACTCACAATAAGAAAGGTACTTTAACTTGCAATCATGTATATATAAATACACACATAATTCCCACTTAACAAAGACCCTAAATACATTTTTTTTATTTGACAGATAGAGTTAGACAGTGAGAGAGAGAGAGAAAGGTCTTCCTTCTGTTGGTTCACCCCCCCAAAATGGCCGCAGCTATGCTGATCCGAAGCCAAGAGCCATGTGCCCCTTCCTGGTCTCCCATGCACTTGGGCCACCCTCCACTGCCTTCCCCGGGCCATAGCAGAGAGCTGGACTGGAAGAGGAGCAGCCAGGACTAGAACCGGCGCCCATACGGGATGCCGGCACCACTGGCGGAGGAGGATTAACCAAGTGAGCCATGGTGCCAGCCCCTAAATAAAAACTTTTAAATAAAATACTTAATGTTTTATGCTAGGTAGTCTTTTTTTATTCTGTCTTACTATAAAACAATGGAACTCAGTAAATTGATTTCTTGGATTGCTACCTTTAGGTTGAAAAGCACTCGTATGATGGTTAAGTAAGCAGGCTCTGTAGTTACCTTACTGCGATTCATATCCTGTGTTCACTCTTCAACTTACACCTCTGTAAAGCAGTAGTAATTATTAATGTTTTTGTTGACAATGATTTTCAAATAAAGTGAAATCATCTATGGCACATTCCTTTTTAACCCCATAAATGTTAATATTACTGCTCTCTACTTAAGACCTTCATGATACAGTAGTTGAAGAGTTAAATAAGGTGCTATGTATGAGTACAACATATTTATTTATTTATTTATTAAAGAATCATTTTATTTATTTGAAAGACAGAGTTACAGAGAGAGATAGAGCCAGAGAGAAAGAGGTCTTCCATCCCGCTGGTTCACTCCCTAAATGACCACAATGGCCAGAGCTGAACTGATCCAAAGCCAGGAGCTTCTTCCAGGTCTCCCACATGCATGTAAGGGCCCAAGGACTTGGACCATCTTCTACTGCTTTCCCAGGCCATAGCAGAGAGCTGGATCAGAAGAGGAGCAGCTGAGACTTGAACCAGCACCCATATGGGATGCCGGTGCTGCAGGCTGGGGCTTTAACCCACTGCGCCACAGCGCGGCCCCCAAGTACAACATACTTAGAATGGTGCCCAGCAGACATTAAGAACACGGTCAGGGTACTGGCTTTGTGGTGCAGTTGGTTAAGATGCCTCATGCAACGCCAGCATCCTGTATCAGACTGCCAGTTCCAGTCTCTGCTGCTCCACTTCCTATCCATCTTCTTGCTAAGGCCCCTGGGAAGACAGCAGAAGCTGCCCAAGTGCTTAGGCCCCTGCCACCCACCTGTGATTTCCAGATGGAGCTTCTGGCTTCTGGCTTTGGTCAGGACCAGATACAACCATTGTGGCCATATGGGGAATGACCCAGTGGTTAGAAGATCTCTGTTTCTTCCTATGTCTTTCCCTCCTAGTCACTCTGCCTTTCAAATAAAGTAATCATAAAAAAGAACACAGTAAGTGTCTGTTGTCATTATTACCCTCATCATTTGAGTAAAACTGTCCAAGGCCTCTTTATTTACAGTCTTATTCAGTTTTTACTTCTTCTTCTAACTTACTTACTTCTTACTTACTTAATTATTTTTTATTTGACAGAGTTAGACAGTGAGAGAGAGAGAAAGGTCCTCCTTCCGTTGGCTCACCCCCAAAATGGCCGCTACGGCCCCGGCGCACTGCACCGATCTGAAGCCAGGAGCCAGGTGCTTATTTATTTATTTTTTTTGACAGGCAGAGTGGACAGTGAGAGAGAGAGAGACAGGGAGAAAGGTCTTCCTTTTGCCATTGGTTCACCCTCCAATGGCCGCTGCAGCCAGCGCGCTGCGGCTGGCGCGCCACGCTGATCCGAAGGCAGGAGCCAGGTGCTTCTCCTGGTCTCCCATGGGGTGCAGGGCCCAAGCACTTGGGCCATCCTCCACTGCACTCCCGGGCCACAGCAGAGAGCTGGCCTGGAAGAGGGGCAACTGGGACTAGAACCCAGTGTGGCAGCGCTGCAAGGTGGAGGATTAGCCTATTGAGCCGCGGCAATGGCCACAAGTGTTTTTTAAGGAGTATAAAGTGCTATTATTGTTTTAGTCCTGGAGCTAAAGTGATGAATAAAGTAAGATCTCTCACAACCTGGAGGAGAAGGCAAAGAAACACAATTGCATGCTCTGTGCTGTGACAGAGGTATGTACAGGGTGTTGTTAGAACACAGGTCCAGGGGTTGGTGCTGTGTAGTGGGTAAAGCCGCCATTCCGGCTGCTCCACTTCTCATCCATCTCTCTGCTAATGGCCTGGGAAAAACAATGAAAGATGGCCCAGGTACTTGAGTCCCTGCCACCCCATGGGAGACCCGAATGACCCTGACTTCAGCCTGGCACAGTCTTGGTTGTTGTGGCCAAGGGGAGTGAACCAGTGGATGGAAGAGCTCTGTCTCATCCTCTCTGTAACTCTGATTTTGAAGTGAATAAATAAATATATTTTTAAAAGATTTATTTTGTTTAATTGAAAGAGTTAACAGAGAGAAGTAGAGCCAGAGAAAGAAGTCTTCCAACTGCTGGTTCACTCCCCAAATGACCGCAATGGCCGGAGCTGTGCCGATCCGGGGCCAGGAGCTTCTTCCTGGTCTCCCACGTGGGTGCAGGGACCCAAGGACTTGGCCATCTTCTACTGCTTTCCCAGGCCATAGCAGAGAGCTGGATTGCAAGTGGAGCAGCTGGGACTCAAACTGGCGCCCATATGGGATGCCGGCACTGCAGGGCAGGACATTAATCTGCTGCACCACAGTGCCAGCCCAGTAAATAAATCTTAAAAAACAAAACGAAACAAAAACCCCAGCGTTCTAGAAGCTGCTCATCGATGAGGGTGAGTGGCAGGGCGTGGAAAGAGTACTGCTAAGGAGAGGCTCAGATGGATGCTGCGTAGGTTTGTGCTGCACCCCAAGGATGATCAGGGTAGCAACAAGCAGCGAAAGCGGCAGAAAGTCACTCAGAGCCAACACCGAAAGACACTTTAAGAAGCAGTTTGAACACGAAAACCTGCTTTGTTGTTGAATCCAGCTTTGCTTAGTAAATGTGTAGCCTGTGGTAATTTAACTCTCTACGTGTTAACTGCTGTTAGAGTAGCCTTCCTCCTTGGAAAACAAACAAACAAAAAACTCCACCTCCTTTCTTTTTCTCAAGATTTATTTATTTGAAAGTCAGAGTTAGAGAGAGGGAGAGAGGGAGTTTCTATCTGCTGGTTCACTTCCCAGAGACTACAACAGCTGGGCTGGGCCAAGGCTGAAACCTGGTGCTTCTTCCAGGTCTCTCACATGCATGCAGGGGCCCAGGCAGTTGGGCCATCTTCTGCTGCTTTTCTCAGGCCATTAGCAGGGAGCTGGATCTGAAGTGGAACACCTGGTCATGAATCAGCTCCCATATGGGATGTCGGCATTGCAGGCAGAAGCTTAACCCACTAGGCCACAGCGTCGGCCCCCCTCCACCCGCTAGGTACAGAAGTACCTAGATGGTTACTGCTACCCAAACTAGGTATTCTATACACACACTAGGTTCATTGCTGTTTTCCTCTGCTCTGTTTCAGTCATGACTACCGAAGAGTATCCATCACTGTGGGGCTTTGGAACAACAAAAACATTTAAAATTCCCATTGAACATTTGGATTTCAAGTATATTGAAAAATGCTCAGACGTGAAACACTTGGAAAAAATCCTTTGTGTGCTCAGGTAAGCCTTTAAGTTGTTTCATGTTTTGGTATGCCAATCTTAAATGTGGTTGCCTTCTAAAAGTCAAAGAATTAGAAATATGGTGTTGGGCACCAAAAAGTATGCTGTGCCCAGATTGTTAGATCCCCGCAGAGACCCCCAGAGAGTCTATCACACCGAACTGCAAAAGCAAGGTTTATTTCAGAGTACAAGCCGGCACAGCAGAGGAAGGAGTGAGGCCCCGGTCTTTGTTAGGGAGAGTTTAAAGGAAAAAAGGGCTACATCAGCAAGAAAAGAGTTACATACAGCACTGAAGCTTTGGGCACAGGGAGTTACTGTGTTCAGCAATCTCTACTGTGCTGTTCTTGGTCTGCCGAGCTAGCTGTCCCTGGTGAGCTTTGATATCTCTGGAATGCCTGAATGCCTGCTTTTACGAGGACCCGGGTCTGCTATGGGAAACAGAGGCTGCTTTTTTTTATTGTTTAAAAATGGAGTCACTTTGGTTCTTCATTGGGAGAAGCTTCTCATATACTGAGATTGTTGTCTTTCCCATGGTAGGTTTCAAAATAGTGCTTTTGATTCCAATAGAGCATTTTTGCTTGCTTTGGTTTTCTTCCTCCAGATTTTTTTTTTTTTTTTTTTTTTTTTTTGGACAGGCAGAGTTAGACAGTGAGAGAGAGAGAGGTCCTCCCTCCATTGATTCACCCCCCAAATGGCTGTTACGCCCAGCGCACTGCGCCAATCTGAAGCCAGGAGCCAGGTGTCCCCTCCTGGTCTCCCATGCGGGTGCAGGGCCCAAGCACTTGGGCCATCTCCCACTGCCCTCCCGTGCCACAGCAGAGAACTAGACTGGAAGAGGAGCAACCGGGACAGAACCAGCGCCCCAACCAGGACTAGAACCCAGGGTGCCAGCGCCGCAGGCGGAGGACCAGCCTAGTGAGCCGCGGCACCAGCTCTTTTCTTTCTTTTAAATATTTATTTTATTTAGGTCAAAGTCAGAGTTAGAGAGAGAGAATGAGCTTGCATCCGCTGGTTGGCTCCTCAAACAGCTGCACAATGGCCAGGGCTGAGCCAGGTGAAAGCCAGGAGCCAGCAGCTTCTTCCAGGTCTCCCATGTGGGTGCAGGGGCCCAAGGACTTGGGCCATCTTCTGCTGCTTTCCCAGGCCATAGCAGAGAGCTGAACTGGAAGTGGAGCATCTGGGACTTGAACCAGCGCCCATATGGGATGCCGGCACTGCAGGCGGTGGCTTTACCCACTATACCACAGTGCTGGCCCCTCATCTTTTCTGAAATAGGAAGAAGAAGAAAAAAAGTCACATTACTGTTTTTTCTTGTTTTTCTCAGCAGACAATTGTCATGTATATTTCATCAAGGAGGGAGTGATTTTAAAAGACTATGAGATGGCAGAGTTTGAGGGCCGGCGCTTTGGTTCACTTGGTTAATCCTCCATCTGCAGCACCGGCATCCCATATGGGTGCCGGGTTGTAGTCCCGGTTGCTCCTCTTCCAGTCCGGTTCTCTGCTGTGGCCGGAGAGGGCAGTGGAGGATGGCCCAAGTGCTTGGGCCCCTGTACCCACATGGGAGACCAGGAGAAGCACCTGGCTCCTGGCTTCAGATTGGCGCAGCGATGGCCATAGCAGTCATTTGGGGAGTGAACCAACGGAAGGAAAACCTTTCTCTTTGTCTCTCTCTCTCACTGTCTATAACTCTACCTGTTAAATTAAAAAAAAAAAAAAAGAGTTTGAAATACACAATTGTAATGTTGGTTCCAAGAAACTCTACAGATATCTTAATTATATTGTATTGACTTGAGATTTTTAAAATTTAATTTGGAAATAGGATTTAGTTTCCCAGAAATTTAAGAATGAAGAGGCCTATAAGAAAAGGAAAAAAGATTGATTTTTCTTAAAAACAAAGAACAGATGTCTCTATTTAACTCTCTAAGGAGGGAATTCTCTTCCTTGAATGATTGAATTTGGGTTTTTTTGTTTTGTTTTAAAAGATTTATTTTATTTACTTGAAAGGCAGAGTAACAGAGAGGGAGGGAGGGAGGGAGGGAGGGAAGAGAGAGAGAGAGAGAGAGAGAGAGAGAGAGAGAGAAATCTTCCATCCACTTGTTCACTCCCCAAATGGCCACAGCAGCAAGTGAGGATGGAGAGAGGGAGGAGGGGAGAGGGTAGGGTGGTACAGCCAGGAGCCAAGAACTCCATTAGAGTCTCCCATTAGAGCCAGACACTTGGGCCATCGTCCTCTGCTTTTCCCAGGCACATCAGCAGGGAGCTGGATCAGAAGCGGAGCAGCCTGGGACTGCAGCTGGTGCTCTCCTATGGGGTGCTTAACTTACTGCACCACAGCACCAGCCCTGTTGGGGGTGTCTTGTGCACCTTCTTTCTCTGCCATTTTCTTCTTCCTTTCCCTTTGAAACAAAAATTGAACTATGAATATAAACTTCTTGAAAAGGAATTTCAAGTTCTCTCTCTGCCTGTTTGTAATACTGAATTTATCTTTATAAGTTTAAAATTACTTCATGTACAAAGTGAATATATATGGGGCCAGTGCTGTGGCACAGGGGGTTAAAGCCCTGGCCTGAAGTGCTGGCATCCCATATGGACGCCAGTTCTAGTCCCAGCTGCTCCTCTTCCGATCTAGCTGTCTGCTATGGCCTGGGATAGCAGTGGAGGATGGCCCAAGTCCTTGGGCCCCTGCACCCATGTAGGAGATCTGGAGGAAGCTCCTGGCTCTTGGCTTCGGATCGGTGCAGCTCTGGCCATTGTGGCCAATTGGGGAGTGAACCAGCGGGTGGAAGACCTCTCTCTCTCTCTGCCTCTCCTCTCTCTGTGTAATTCTGACTTTCAAATAAATAAAATAAATCTTAAAAAAACACAAAGTGAACATATATATGATAAGGAAGATGTAAAACATTATTTATTCAACTTTCAAAGTGTGTGATGGTTTCTTTGGAGTTCCTCATTTTCTTCCTGGTTCATCCCATAGGTTCTGGGGGTATTTCAAACTGTTCCTGGAAAATGAAATTTAAAAGATAAGTTCATTTTGATGCAAAATATTTTTGAAATCTGTGCATATGAGGAGGTTTTTAAAAAGTTCATGAAAATGCATATTAGGTGAAAACTATGCATGGGTTTCAAGGCCTGAAGCCCACAGCCCACCTTGCAGGCTTGAGATGGCTGTGGGAAGCCTGGGCACCCAGCTGCCCAGCGTGCGAGCCACTGTTCTAGAGGACCTCTAGACAAGGTGCTAACTCTGAAATTGTGATTCTTTTTAAAGGTCTGGCGAGGAAGGGTATTATCCTGAACTCACAGAACTTTGTGAAAAGCGTCTTCAAGGCTTGGCTCCTCGAAGCAGAGCTCTGAGGAAGGACAAGCCCGCAGCCACAGCATCCAGCTTCACAGCAGAAGAATGGGAAAAAATTGACAGTGACATAAAGGTAGAGAGTAACTCTCGCCATCGGTAGACATCGTAGTGACATTTTTGTGTGTAGGTGTGCGTCTGCTTGTTGGTCGGTAAAGGGCTGTCGGTAGTATTTACTTAGCATTGGTTTTATCAGGTGCTTCTTAGACCCAGGAGAACGGTGTGAGTTTGTGGGTGTGTGCGTGTGCAGCACGTTATTTTACATGGCTGAATAATATTCCATCCTGTAAAAGAACTGTGATTTCATCAGCTTCTATAAATAGAACAATCCCTTATAAAAATGTTTGTTTACACATTTTTTGGGCACCTTTCTGGCTATTTCCTCAAGATAAATGATTAGAATTGAAATAGCCTGGTCAAAGGACTTGAATATTTTTAGGCTCTTGAAGCCTACTTTTATATTCTCAGAAAAGTTGTGCCTTCATACTCTCCCAGGAACTGTGTCTCAGAATGCCTGTTTTTGGGTACTCGTCACTGGTATCTTCACTGGATACTATGATCATTTTTTGATCAATTAAGTAGTTGAAAACATGATAGTGTATTTTAAAAATTATTTATTTATTTATTTTCATTTACTTGAAATGCAGAGAGACAGAGATCTTCCATCTGCTGGCTCACTTCCCAAGTGCCTGCAATAACCAGGGCTGGTCCAGGCTGAAGCCTGACTCCTGGAACTCAGTGCAGGTCTCCTATGTGGATGGCAAGGACCTAAGTACTTGAGCCATCACCTGCTGTCTCCCGGAGTGTGCATTTAGCAGGGAACTACAATTAGGAGCAGAGCCGGGACTCAAACCCTGGCACTCTGATATGGGGTGCAGACACCCATGCCTGAATTGGAACACCTGGGTGTAATTCTCTGCTTCAGCTCGTTTCCGGCTTCCTCCTAATGTGTACCCTGGGAGGTGACAGGTGATGGCTCAAGCACTTGGGTCCCTACTACCCAAGTACTATAGGAGACTCAGATTGAGTGTCTGCCTCCTGACTTTGACCTGGCCCAGCCCTGGCTATTGGGGACATTTAGGGAGTTAACCAGTAGGTGAGAGTTCTGTCTGTTTCTCTCTGTGTCTTTTTCAAATAAGTAATAAAAAAGGAGAAAGGTTGGCACTTGCTTTGCAAATGTTTTCTGATAATGATACTCTATGACTTGCCTTTTTTTTTTTTAAAGTATCTTTGAAAGGGCAAAAGTTTTTAATTCTGGTGAAACCAGTTTTTCTCTTACAGTTTGAGATTTTGTGTTCTATTTAAGAATTCTGTCTAAACCAAGATCTCCAGGTTTTCTCCTAGAAAGTTTGTAGTTTTAAGATCTTTTATTTTTTGGAGAAAAATACATACATACACACACATATGGAGGTGTTTCAGAAAGTTCATGGAAAATGAAATTAAAAGAGTTTATTTTCATGCAGAAAATGTTGAGATCCATGCATACTCATACACACACATACACACACACACAATATCTAAAAGTAACATGTTTAAGAACCATTGAAAGAAAGATTATCCTTTCCCCACTGCACTTCTTGGTACTGTTTTCAGAAATCAGCTGGCTGTTTACCTGTGTTCTATTTCTTTCTCCCCCTGTCCTGTTCCATGTTCCATTATCCTGAATGCCTGTCTTTGATATATCATTGTCTTGATTGCAGTGGTTTTACAGCGCCTTGAAACCTCATAGTACAAATCCTCCAACCTCTTTTTTTTCTTTTCCAAGTTGTTTGGCTATTCCGAGATGTTTGCTTTTCAATTTCTGCTTGTTTGTGTTTGGACTGGAATTGTGTTGAATTTGTGGATCAATTTTGGAAAAACTGACATCTTCATATTGATATTTCTGATCCATTATCTACTTCATTTATTTTGGTATTTAAGTTTTTAAAAAGATGTATTTATTTGAAAGTCAGAGTTACAGAGAAGTAGAAGCAGAGGCAGAAAGAGAGAGGCTGAGGTCTTCCATCCGCCAGTTCACTCCCCAGATGGCCGAAACAGCTGGAGCTGTGCTAATCTGAAGCTAGGATCCAGGAGCCAGGAGCTTCCTCTAGGTCTCCCATGTGGGTGCAGGAGCCCAAGGACTTGGTCCATCTTCTTCTGCTTTCCCAGGCCATAGCAGAGAGCTGGATTGGAAGTGGAGTGGCCAGATCTTGAACCTGTGACCATATGGGATACTGGCACTGCAGGTTGTGGCCTTACCTGCTACGTCACAGCACTGACCCCAGTATTTAATATTTTTACAGTAATATCTTGAAGATTTTTGTGCTTAGTTTTTGCATATTTTTGTTAAATGTATTCCTAAGTATTTTACATATCTTATGCTATTACAAATGTTAATATTTTTAATTTCAATTTTTTTGTTAGTCTATGTAACCCCAGTTATGAAAACTTTATTTTTATGATAGTAAAATAACATAATTTATCATACTAGCCATTTTAAAGTATACAGTTCTGTAATGTTAAGTATAGCCACATTGTTATACTGTCGATCTCTATAACTTTCTCACCTCGTAAGACTGAAACTCTATGCCCAGTAAACAACTCTTCTCTATGTACCTCTCTCTCTAGCCCCTGGAACCCATCATTCTGTTTTCTGTTATAAGTTTCATTACCCTTAGATACTCTGTGTCAGTGGAATCTGAATGTTAATTACACATTACATGTTTATAGTTATCTAATTGATTACTTAATTACTGGCCTTGTATCTTGCAATCTTATTAAATTCATTGATTAATTCTAGGATGGTTTTTATAGATTCCTTGCATTTCCTACCTGCAAGATTGTGGCTGTGAATAACAGATATTGACTTCTAAGGCAGGCATTTGACCTAGCAGTAGAATGATGCTTGGGACTTATATCCTGTATGGGAGTGCTGGGTTCTAGTCCTAGCTCTGCTCCCGAATCCAGTTTCCTAATGGTGTTCACCATGGGAGGCCATGGTGATGGTTCAAGTAGTTGATCCCCTACCACCCATATGGGACACCTGGATTGAGTTCTCAGCTCCTGGATTTGGCCTAACCTAACCCTGGTTGTTGTAGGCATTTTAGGAGTGAATCAATGGATGAGTTCTCTCTCTCTCTCTCTCTCATTCTCTCATTCTCTCATTCTCTCATTTCTGGCTCTCAAATAAATAAATAAGTACATAAATAACTAAATAAAAATAGAGATGTACTTCTTTTCAAATCTGGCTGCCTTATTTTTTTTAAACTTGCCTATTGAACTGGCTAAAACCAACAGTACAATGTTGAGTAGACATAGAGCAGATATCCTTGTCTACTTCCTGATCTTACAGGGAAATCATCCAACCTTTTACCATTAACTACCAATTAACCTTAGATTTGTGTTAAATGCCCTTTAAGAAGTTGAGGAAGTTCCCTTTTGTTTTTTGTTTGAAGAGAATTTTTTTCATGAAGAGGTTTAGGTTTTATGAGACGATTTTTTCTGTTTATTGCAGTGAACATATGATTTTCTTTGTAGTCTGTTCATTATAGTTAATTATGTAGACTGTTTTCAAATGTTATACTAATCTTGCACTCTAGGATAAGCCCTATTGCCAGATTTGGTTTGCCAAACTTCTGTGAAGGGTTTTTGTGTCTATGTTCATGAGAGATACTGGTCTGTGGTTTTCTTTTTTTTAAATACTGTTGTCTAGTTTTGGAAGCAGGGTAATGCTAGCCTTATAGAAGGAGTAGCAACATATTCTCTCCTCTTTGATTTTCCAGAAAAAATGGTGTATAACTGGCATTATTTCTTCCTTAAATGTTTGGCAGAATTGGCCATTGATGCTGTCTGGGCCTGGGGCTTTCTTTGTAGGAAAGGTTTTAACTATGAATCCAATTTCTTTAATAGATTTGGGGTTATTCAGAACCTATTTAGAGAGCTTTCTCTCTGTCCAGCTCCCTCGTCCGCAGCACTTGGCCCTCAAAATCCTCTCAGTCTTCCAAACTCTGTCTCTTGGCTTCAGTGAGCGCCCATGCTGCAGCCTGCAAACTCTGGGCAGCAACTCGGGGCAGAGGTGGGGCCTACCCTGCTTTGGTTCTGTTTTTCCAAAGATCATTGACTTGTTCTGCTTTTCGTCCACTGCCCGGAAACCATTGTTACAGACGTTTCACCCAGCTTTCTAGAGTTCAGCGAGAGCGTAGATCTAGTCTCTGAGTCTGTCAAGTCAGAAGTTCCTTTACTGGTTTTTCTATTGAGACGTTAGAGTTTTGTGTGTTTTAAATTTCCCCTCAGTTTGTTGTTTGCTTTATGGATGTTGTATATGGAGTTTTTCATGTTCACAGTTTAAAAAGAGTTTTTTTTTTTTGTTTTTTGTATAATCACACTCTAGATTTGATATTTATGATCTTTTTGTTTGCTTTATAGTTAGGGAAACTTTCTCTCCACCGGACAAATATTGACCTGTGTTTTTTCACCATTCCTGTGAAGCTTCATTTTGCCTAAGAAATTATTTTTATTCATTTTTTCCTGTGTGTTTATTGTTTTATCTGCCGTCTTTTATTGGGTGTTAGTTCTTAGTTGTGCTGTTAAAGAATTCAGGCACAACAGGGCTCCTCACAGAGGGTCAAGGTCGGGAATGCAGAGTTCGCCCTTGGCATTGCTGTCTCTCCGGCGGTGCTAGCATCGCTGCTCCGGGTTCCTAGTAAGAAAGGCAGTAGTTGAAAAGCTCCCAGCTGGTGGGGCCACACCGCCTGCAGTGCCAGCATCCCACATGGCTGCCAGTTTGAGGCTTGGCTGCTGCACTTCCGATCCAGCTCTCTGCTATGGCCTGGGAAAGCAGTAGAAGATGGCCCAAGCCCTTGGGCCCCTGCACCCATGTGGGAGACCAGGAAGAAGCTCCTGGCTCCTGGCTTCCAATCCACCCAGCTCTGGTGGTGGCAGCCATCTGGGGAGTGAACCAGCGGATAGAAGACCTACCTACCTCTCTCTCTCTGCCTCTCTGACTTTAAAATAAATAAATAAATCTTAAAAAAAAAAAACAACAATTTTAAGGTCTATATATTTTCTAACTCAGAATGCTATTTTTTAATCTTTCATTTTTTTCATTTTACTATTTTATTGACTTGCGTTGGATAATCTAGTAATTAATCCCCAAGTCAAAGATGGCCTTTTATGTGCGGAGTTCAAGGTCTGATTTTTAGAGCACAGGAAGCCTGGTTTTGGTTGCAAAACCTGCCCTTCTTCCTGTCTGCCCACCTCCTGAGTTTGTCTCGCTCTCTCTTCCTGGTCTCTCATGAGTCCTGTGCCCTTCTCCCTTCCCCATTCTCTCTTACTCACTGTCTACTTTGTAATTCTTCTTCCCTTTTACCTTTCTTTGCTCACTTTTCATCCTTCCTGTCTTTTATACAAATAAGAAAGATAATACAGATTATTGCTTGTAAGAATGTCTGACAAATGTTAGAATCTCAAGATAACTTGCTGAATGATAAAAATAGAATTTCACAGAAAATATTTTTTTTCCTGCTAGTTATGACAATTCAGTTGATTTTTCTTTAGTAGTCCAGAGGTCTTTTATTTATTCTTTTTAATGATTTATGTATTTATTTGAAAGGCAGAGTTACAGAGAGGCAGAAGCAGAGAGAGAGAGAGAAAGTCTTCCATCCACTGGTTCACTCCCCAAATGGCTGCCACCACTGGAGCTGGGTGGATCGGAAACCAGGAGCCAGGAGCTTCTTCCTGGTCTCCCACATGGGTGAAGGGGCCCATCCTCCACTGCTTTTCCAGGCTCATTAGCATGGAGCTGGATCGGAAGTAGAGCAGCTGGGTCTCTAACTGGTGTCCATATGGGATGCTAACACTGCAGGTTGGGGCTTTAACCTGCTACGACACAGCGCTGGCCCCTATTTTTATTTTATTTTATTTTATTTTATTTTATTTTATTTTATTTTATTTTATTTTATTTTATTTTATTTTATTTTATTTTATTTTATTTTATTTTATTTTTTACACTCACCATGTCTTGCATTCACAGGGAATGGGTTCCAGCAGCTGCGGCTCCTTTCAGTGGGTTCTGACAAAGGGGGCTTCTCTGGGTGGAGAGGCTGGTGCCTCAGTTGAGCCCAGGTGCCTTGCTCTCTGGCTTCCCTCTCTTTCTGGTCACTTTCCTTCCCACGTTTCAGGGAGCTGTCTCGGCTCTTAGAGTGCTTAGTATGTGCAGGATGCACATTTGTTGTTTCGGTAAGATCTTACCTGAACTTGTGTGTTTGCCACAGTGCCGACAGCGTGCTGGGTAACACCGCAGCCCCTTCCAGTTTTGCCGTGGTAACATTTATGGGGCGTCCCCCCCTTTTTTTTTCTTTTTTCTTTTTTTTGACAGGCAGAGTGGATAGTGAGAGAGAGAGAGAGAGAGAAAGGTCTTCCTTTTCCGTTGGTTCACCCCCCACTGGCCGCTGCGGCCGGCGTGCTGCGGCCAGCGTGCTGCGCTGATCCGAAGGCAGGAGCCAGGTGTTTCTCCTGGTCTCCCATGCTGGTGCAGGGCCCAAGCACTTGGGCCATCCTCCACTGCACTCCCGGGCCACAGTAGAGAACTGGACTGGAAGAGTAGCGACCGGGACAGAATCCGGCACCCCAACCGGAACTAGAACCCGGGGTGCTGGCGCCGCAGGTGGAGGATTAGCCTATTGAGCCGCGGCACTGGCCAAGGGGCATCCCTTTTTGAATAGTTCCCATTCCCTTGATATCTACAGAGTCACCTTCCTTGTAGATGTGCATGTGTGTGGCCAAAGGCACAGCTCTATGTTTTCTATAAGGCCCGAGAACGCATATCCGGTGCCTCCCCTCGCTCCCTTTGTGTTCATCATCTTGGTGAATTATTGGCAGGTGGTGGTTCTGGCCAAAAGGCTGTTTGTTTATTTTTACAGATTGATTGATTGATTTGAAAGGTAGAGTGACAGAGAGGAGGGCAGGGAGAGAGAGAAAGAGATATATATCCTCCCCTTGCTGGTTCACTCCCCAAATGGCTACAATATCCATATCCAGGGCTGAGCCATGCCGAAGCCAGGAGCCTGGAACTCCATCTGGATCTCCTACATGGGTGGAAGGAACTCAAGCACTTGGGCCGTCATCTGCTACCTTCCCAGGCTCATTAGCAGGGAGCTGGATCAGAATCAGAGCAGCTGGCACTGGAGCTGGTGGTGCTCTGGTACAGAATGCCAGTGTTGCAGGTGACAGCTTAGCCCGCTGTGCCACAACACTGGCCCATGACAATTTGGTTTAATAAGCATTATAAAGAAACTCTTGGGGTCGATGCTGTGGCATAGTGGGTTAAAGCTCTGATCTGCAGCACCAGCATCCCATATGGGCTCTGGATTGAGTCCCTGCTGCTCCACTTCCAATCCAGCTCTCTGTTGTGGCCTGGGAAAGCAGTAGAAGATGGCTCAAGTCCTTGGGCCCCTGCACCCACGAGGGAGACCTGGAAGAAGCTCCTGGCTCCTTCTCTCTCTCTGTATCTCTGCCTTTCAAAAAAAAACTAAAAAACAAAAACTAAAACCAAAAACAAAAACAAAAACAAAACACTGACTATGGTGACCACTTTTAAGTATACAGTTCAGCATTCATTATATTCACATTGCTGTTTCCCTTTCTATTTTTATGTTGCAAGATCATATTCATCATCCCTTTCAGCAAGCTTCCTGATTGGGTAAAAGTATTAGCACCTCCTCATGTATTAGCATACAGATTTTGAATCAACTATGTATTGTTCATCCTCATCTAGAAACTCCTTGAGGCCAGGGCTTATGTCTCATTTTCATCTTAGTGATTCAGGGTCTGGCATGTAGGGCATATAGGAGTTTCTTTTCTTTCTTTCTTTCTTTCTTTCTTTCTTTCTTTCTTTCTTTCTTTCTTTCTTTCTTTCTTTCTTTCTTTTGTTTAAGATTCATTTATTTATTTGAAAGCAGAGCTACAGAGAGGCAGAGGCAAAGAGAGAGAGAAAGGTCTTCCATCTGCTGGTTCACTCCCCAGATGGCCTCAGTGGCCGGAGCTGGGTGGGTTTGAAGCCAGGAGTCAGGAGCTTCTTTCCGGACCCCCCACGTGAATGGCAGGGGCCCAAGGACTTGGGCCATCTTCCGCTGCTCTCCCACGCACATTAGCAAGGTGTTGTAATGGAAGTGGAGCTACCAAGACTCAAATTGGTGCCCAGGTGGGATGCCAGCCCTGCAGGCAGTGGCTTAACCTTCTGCAGCATAGCGCCAGCTCCACAATGATCAACTTAACATCATGGGCATTCATTACAGTTTTTAAAAATTTAGAAATGGCAGCCGGCGCCGCGGCTCACTAGGCTAATCCTCCGCCTTGTGGCGCCGGCACACCGGGTTCTAGTCCCAGTCGGGGCGCTGGATTCTGTCCCGGTTGCCCCTCTTCCAGGCCAGCTCTCTGCTGTGGCCAGGGAGTGCAGTGGAGGATGGCCCAAGTGCTTGGGCCCTGCATCCCATGGGAGACCAGGGGAAGCACCTGGCTCCTGGCTCCTGCCATCGGATCAGCGCAGTGCGCCGGCCGCAGCGTGCCGGCCGTGGCGGCCATTGGAGGGTGAACCAACGGCAAAGGAAGACCTTTCTCTCTGTCTCTCTCTCTCACTGTCCACTCTGCCTGTCAAAAAATTAAAAAGAAAAAATGTAGAAATGGCATTCCAGATAGAAGGGTGTGACCACACCGTCACCTAAAAAACCAGACTCCTGGGAAACTATCATGTAAAATGCTTCCTTTACACCTGGCTAATTATTTCAGACCATATATTTGTCTCCTTTTCCTCCATTCTTCTCAGAGCTGGGTATCAGAAATTAAAAAAGAAGAAGATAAAATGCACTTTCATGAAACTGAAAGGTTTGCGGTGATGGAAGGTAATTTGCCTCCGGTCCGTGGTTCAAGCAGCTGTCTTCAGGTGGGCAAGGTAGGCCGCTGGGGCCGGGGCCGGGCCGGGGCCGGGCCGGGGCTGTTGTGGTTTGCTAAGAGGCTAACTCACCTCAGTCAGAGTAGCCAGCGTGTGAGCGTGACGCCCTCCAGCTGAGCCAGGGTATGTTTGCTGTGGACCTCCGAGTGTGTCACCTTCTTTGGTCAGTTGTGCCCCATCACGTGGAGGTGAAAATGAAGCAGCGCTCTTCTTTGAAGACCTGCGTCTTGGGTTGACTGCCCTTTCTCTTCTTTCTTGTGCTGTTCCGTCTCTTCTACTCTGACTGGTTTTCCCAAAGTTTGTAAGGTCCCATTCAGTGTGCGAAAGTTGCAGGGACCAATTTTATATCCAGTAGAGGCATAGAAGAGCTATCTTATTATATATTCTTATTAGCTGTAGATGTAAATATTAAATAGTTACTTTCAAGCACTTATCAAAGTCATTTCTCTGCTTAGTGCCTCCCCCGCCCCCGCCCCCATTTCTCTGTGATTGGTCTCTATTTTTAACCCACAGGCTCCGTGGAGGAGGGGTCCCTTGGAGTTTCAGGTGCATTCTATTTGACCTCAGGTTGAAAATGGGTTTTGGGCATCCACTTGGACATGTTATTTGTGGCAGGGTGACAACTCGGGTCTTTCTTTGGGGGTTGACTCATTTGTGTTATTCTCATCTTTTCTTTGAATCCTTTTCTTCCTTTCCTTTTCTTTTTTATCTAGGAGGGAGAGGGAGAGGGGGAGGGGGAGGGGGGAGGGGGAGGGGAGGGAGAGGGAAAGACAAGGATCTTCCATTCACTCCCTAAACACCTGCAACAGTCAGGGCTGGGCCAAGCCGAAAGTCAGGGCCTGGGAACTCCATCCAGGTCTCTCATATGAGTGGCAGGAACCCAAGTAACTGAGCCATCGCCTGCTGCCTCCCATGGTACACACTAGCACGAAGCTAAAATTGGAAGTGGAACTGGGACGCAAGCCCAGGCACTCCGGTTTGGGATGTGGTCATCCCAGTGGCCTCTTATCCTCTATCCCAAATGCCCATCTCCTCAATTGTATTTAACAACATCCACAGCCCTTCCTCCCTCTGACCTCTGGTAGTTTGTCTTCCTGGATCTTTTCACTCCCCATCAGGAACAGCAGTGCCTGAGTATAGGTGACTGAGGTGCTTAGTGACGTGGTGACGACGCCACCATCTGTAATCGTTAGAGTCGTATTTGCAGAATTCCCACCATGTGCTAAGTCCATGCTCTGGCAATATAACAATGAATAATATTCGGTCTTTGCTCTCAAAGAGTGTATAGTCCAGGAAGCAGCTAAAGCATTGGTACCCGGTTCTCAGATGATGGTCTGTGTTTCCAGTTGCAGAGGGAAGGGTGGATTCTTTTCCTCAGCTCAGTATGGAAATAAAAAGCCGGGGAATGATTTGTAAAGAAGCAGAAACTTTTATTTGATTGGCAGGCAACAGGAAAATTTCTGGTCCGAGAGGAGACCAAGAGGAGTGCCCAAACAGGGACACTGGCTTTAGGGAAATGCCCGGGGTTTTGAAGGCATTACTATCTGTTCATTGGATCATTCTATGGGGGGTGCCCATTGGATGGGGATTTCACATTTGGTTCGTTGATAGGCTTGGGGCTCATGGAGATAGCGGGGCTCTGTTGGAGACAGCCCAATTCTCCTTAGGGACTTAGCCCCCTCCTCTGCTAGCTGTGGGTGGAGGACTGCAGCTAACTTGAAGGCTGATTTAAAACCACAGGGTCACACATGCAGCCCGAGAAGCTAGAGTGGGGGAGATGCTGGCTGGTCTGGAGACGGGCTTTCCCGCCACAGCTGACAGCCTGCTTGTGAAGGACATTCTACCTACGCCTGAGGGGCCCACAGACCCCCAGCCCCACTGGACGGCCTCAAATCCCCCCTTCTTTTAATCCACACCCTACTACTGTAGGGACCCGGGGCATCGATGTTGTCCTGGCTACTTCCTGCTAACAGGGGGTCGTCGCCCTAGAGGCCCTTTGGGTGTGGAAGGTTGAGGTGGTGGTGGTGGCCATCAGGTAGCTGTGAATGAATGCAGTCTGCATGCAGGGCTCCATCTGGAATATCATTTGCATCTTGATGGATTCTAACCTTTGAGAGAGAAATGGGACAAGGCAGTGCAGGATACACGGGACAAACATTAGAGTACGAAGTAGCGTACAGAATGGGCCCCGCAGAGGAAGGACCCATGCCGTGGATGGTAAGCAGGATTTTAGTTGTTCCCAAACCTGACCTGTCAGGTGGGTTTTAACTGACGGGCTTTTTAACCACACTGCCTTTTGTAGGATGTGTTTGCTACCACACATACTCCTCCCTGTTGAGCTAGCCTATAGTCAAAGCGAGTCTGTGGTCTGGGACCATCTGGCCTAGTGAGTGTAGAGACTTTTGTAAGTCTCTGAAGTTGAAGCCAGCTTCTTGGGCTAGGTCACCCACAGTGGTGGTGATGTCGGGGACCTGCCGGTGAGTGCTAACCACTCCACATGTCAGCCTAGCCGAGGATGCTGCCAGGGCAGTCACACCTAGCACGATCAGGGTCCCTGCTTCTCTTTGGACTCGGATTCTAGCGTTAGCTGTTGAGAGGGCCTGGTAGGTGTCTTCAGTCACTGATTCAGAAAGAAGATTCCCTCTGAGTCTGGCTCCAATAGGCCTAGCTCCCAGTATCCTTGAGTTTTTCCTGGGTGTAGACATCTTACACCCCATGCCTCTTTAAACTGGGTTATTGTAGCCCACAAAGAGCCTTCCCCATATCACTGGTTTCCCATCTGTCCACACTGCAGGATCAATGTCTACCTAAGTTAAAGGAAAACAGGCACAGACCTCAGGGGGAAGAACCAGGCCCACGTGCACCTTGGCTAGAATATCTCTCCCCAAGAGAGAGGGGCTGGGGTCTCAGGGATTTAACCAAGGTGTGGTGGAAGTGGAAGTTGCCCCAGGAGCAAGCCAAAGGCTGAGTAAAAAAGTGCATTTAAGAGGCTGGCCTGGTACACCCCGAACGACCTCCTTATGTGGACCCAGGTCCAGGAGAAGAGGGCAAAGCTGAAAATCTAGTGCCAGTGTGAAGCAGAAACCTTACTGCTTGTGAGCCCACATCAGAGAGACCCAGGGCTCCTCGGTAGGAACCCAAGTGCTGGGAGCCTGGAGAGCAGGGCTGGCACCCGTCAGTGGGACGCCTGGTCCAGTGGCCCCTGCTCCCTTCGGAGCCTGGGCACTTGGATTCCCTGTGCTCCCCCTTACAGATTGGACAGGGTCTAGGAGGTGGTCTCTTTTTTCCAGGCTTGGGATAGTCCTGAAAGTGTCCCAACTTTCCATAGTTGAAGCAGGCTGAGGGGGCTACACCCATCGCAGGGGGCCTGAAGGGCTATACCCATCGCAGGGGCCTGAGGGGGCCACACCTATCGAGGGGGCCTGAGGGGCTACACCCATTGAGGGGGCCTGAGGGGGCTACACCCATCGCAGAGGCCTGAGGGGCTACACCCATGGCAGGGGCCTGAGGGGCTACACCCATCACAGGGGGCCTGAGGGGGCCTCACCCATGGCAGGGGCCTGAGGGGCCTGACCTTCAGTCACTGTCCCCTTGAGTTTTTCCGGGAAGGTCATGGAGGCTCAGATTCCGCCTGGTGCGAATGTTTTGTTTTTGCCCTTTTTAGTCCCTCAAAGAAGCAGTAAATATAATGATTTCATTCTGCTCGTCCCTCACATCCTCGGGACCCAATCAGGATTTTTAGTGGGGACCACCTCGGCCCTAGTTAGGATTTTTTTTTTTTTTTTGACAGGCAGAGTGGACAGTGAGAAAGAGAGAAAGGTCTTCCTTTGCCGTTGGTTCACCATCCAATGGCTGCCGTGGCCGGCGAGCTGCGGCCGGCGTGCTGCGGCCGGCGCACCGCGCTGATCTGATGGCAGGAGCCAGGTGCTTCTCCTGGTCTCCCATGGGGTGCAGGGCCCAAGCACTTGGGCCATCCTCCACTGCACTCCCTGGCCACAGCAGAGAGCTGGCCTGGAAGAGGGGCAACCGGGACAGAATCCGGCGCCCCAACCAGGACTAGAACCCGGTGTGCCAGCGCCGCAAGGCTGAGGATTAGCCTAGTGAGCCGCGGTGCCTGCCTCCTAGTTAGGATTTTCAGACGGTTTCTCTACTTTACATTTTGGGAGTTAGAATAGTCATTGCCTGCCTCTCGTGCCTTTGCTAGCTTGCTCTCTCTCTTTCTTTCTCTCCCCCACCTCCAATGGCGGTAGAGTCTGATCAAGGGATAAGGTGATGTCTTTCCATGTCAGATCATATCATGATTTAGGTTGTTCAAAAGGCTGCACATACTGGTCTGGTGTGTACTTTCCCAGGTCTTTTTTTTTTTTTTTTTTTTTAATCTCTTTGAATGCAGCCAGAGAAAAAGACACAATACTAATCTCTGGGCCAAATTCACCTACCCCTCCCCACCCTCCACCTGCAAGGGAAACACTCCATCTCCTTGCATGCATGGATAAGGCCGAGGTGCCTTTTTCTGTCTGGGACTTGGCCCATGATAAGGGGGACAGGGTTGACCTTGGGACTCTGGGGGGATAAGGGGACTGTAGGGGTGACCTTGGAGGCACCTGGACTGGTTTGTTCTTCTTCCAGACTCAGCTTGTCTCCCACCACCTGCACTTGCACTTTTTATACTCTACACATTTGTAACAAGTCTGGGTGCTCTCTAAGATAGAAGAACAGCTGGACATAAAGAATTTCTTCCACTTGCATTCACACCTACTGCAAAGATCTAGTTAGAGTATGGGATTGTAATTGAGACTTCCCTGTGGAGGCCAGGTCTCCCCATCATTAAGGGGGTATTTGGGCCAGGCCTCAGTGCAGAAGAAAGTCAGGACCTTCTTGAGGATCAGGGGGTCCAAGTGGTCCCAACTCTTGAGGATACATGTGAGAGGTGACCAGGGATCTACTCGTGAGGACTGAGATCCCACGGAGTAATAAAGGAGAGAGAATGGGGGTTGGCCAGAGAGGTCACCTCCTCTCTCTGTACAACAGTAACATGAGGACTCAGCCTGGCAGGCACTGGGAGGCAAACCCAGTATGGCCCTGGTGATGGAGTCCTGCGTGGGTGATCATTGCAAGGGTGTCCCCTGGGACGGACCTTCCGAGTGTGGGGATTGCCACTCCTACCTCTGTCTTGGTTTATCCCACCTCTGGTCTCCACTCCTTTGCCTCTCAGGACGAGGGCCTTGATAAAACGGCCTCTTCCCCTGGGAACGCTGCTGCCTCCAACTCTGAAAGCTGTCTAACTCTCACACCAGCCTATCAGAAGGATGGAGCCAGTCCTGACTGGCGACACCTCAAAGACCTTTAAAGTCCATACTTCTCATGGACTCCCTGTTCTTTCAGGGCTTAGGTAAGTGAAGAAAACCTATTGTGGCCTCAGAACTGCCTCCTGTTTTTCCCCCAGGCTCTTTACAAACGTCTGCCTCAGGACCTCTTGTGGGGACACGGGGAGTGTGTACAGTGACTGACAGAGAGGGTAAAAGTCTTTGAGGACTTATCTGAGC